CACACACACACACACACACACACACACACACACACACACACACCAGGGTTTGTTGTTACTGCTGTTTGCTTAGTGACTTTCCTGGGCTAATTTTGTCAACTATATATTCCCTATAGTGTGCAACCACTGAAGCCTCTGCTCAGTTAGCTTAATGGTCAGCTAATGATCGGACAGAGATTTCCTTAAATGCCTTAAGCCACCCTTCGCCAAGAAGCTCTGTGTGTGGGTTGACACATGCTCAGGCAGCTTATAGCTCTGTCTTAGCCATCACTTCCTGCTTGCATAAGGCCTAAAAGTCAGCCGGAACCCAGAGACTGAGGGGGTCTCAGGTCTTTCCTGAGTGTGTACACAGTCTCTTAGATTCCCAGAGCTTTTCAATCTCCCCTGTGAACATCTCATTTCTCAGATCCTCCTTTTGTTTTGGGGGCTTTTGTTTGTCCCAACTGGTATCACAGTTTTAGGCAGTTGCAATGTTAACAATTGAAGATGATTATGTTTGACAAACATCCTGAGAATTGGGGTTTTCCCATGAACGGAGCCTTAAGTAGGGAAATAATGACTTAAGGATAGGGGTTTTCCCCCAGATAGAGCTTCAAGTAGGGTCAAATAATGACAACACCCTGTGAAGCTTTTCCAGGGAACAGCAGCACAGGTCAAATTGTGATGAAGCTCTGATAGTGTTTTCTGACAAGTTCCTGACCCAGTCTGTCCCCTCAGATGGCGGCAAGTCTGTTGGTTTTCAAGGCTACTGTGAAGTGGGGTTACAGGGCTGGGAGTAGGCTGAGTTCAAGCCCCACAAACCCCACTGTCTTTGCGTTCAGTTTCTCTTGGATAAACCCTCTTCAGATTGTTGTTAGCCTTTGGTTTGACATCCAGAGATCTGGAAAAGGTGATTTTTGTAATTTTGCCGATTTTGTTGCTTTTAGGGAGGAATGGATTTGGATTTGCAGAAGCACTTACTTCACCATTCCAGAAGTCCCACATCTGGTTTGGGTAATTTCTAAGATAGGTTAGGTATTAACTAATAAGGAGGTATTCACTGGAAATAGGATTAAAGTAATGTCTCACCTTGGAGGTATCCGGTTTAAAGAAAAAAGACACTTAAAGGTTAAAAAAAATTGTTTTAGGAGCCATAGGAATCATTCCAAAATATTGGGGTGATATGGGAGCCCTTGGTAAAAGTCAGTGGGCAGCCAGGAGTTACACTCAGGCCAGTGACCTCTTGGCTGCTTCCCCTGGAAGACACCTCATACAGGGAAGGGAGCTGCCATGTTCTGAGTACTTCCTCTAAGCTGTAAGTTTCATACTCATTATCCTCACAACTTACCAGCAAAGAAAATTATCTTATTTCCACTTTACAGGTAAAAAAACTGAGGCTCACAAAGTCAGGTCACATGCACAAGCTTAGAACACTCATGGGTGGCAGGGAGGGGCTCCCACTCCAAAATGAAAACTACTGCAGTGTCATCAAACCCAGTGTCCTGACCCTCTGGCTGGCTATAGTGGAGCAGGGAGGCAGTTTGTGGGCGTCCCATTGTTGCAATTTGGAGCAAAGGGGTTGGAACCCCTTTTTAGCCCTCCTCCCCAGAAGATGCCTCCCCACCAGTCACAGAGCAGCGAACAACAGCAAAATCACAGGTATGGCTTGCCCCCTGTCATGAACACCTGTTGAGGGGAGCTCCTAGATCAATTCCTCCCTTCATTCAGGAGCCAAAGTCTCTAGGCAGTCCCCCCAAATCAAGAGTGGCAAGGCCAAAACCTGGTTATGACTGTAGGATGGTCCTTCACATGCTCAGAAAAATAGAGTCCAAAGGCCTGAGTGCCCACAGCCCTGTCCAGTCCACTGTAAGCCCAGGTTGTGTCTGTGCAAGACAGGAGGGCATGTCCCCAATGCCCCAGCATTCTGACCAGCCCACGGCTCCACCCACTCCCACTGACTGCAACAAAGGGGCATATTCACTACACAGTCATTCATAAAAGACAAGCTTTATTTCGATATCTCTTAAACTGACAAGGAGATAGCACAATGACAACAGTGCTGTCCCATGTGCTGAGTCACCTTCAGATGCGTGATCTCACCGGGACCTCCCCGCCCTCTGGCTGCAAGGTGGGTGACTACTTATCTGCTTTACCGAGGACTTGGTAGTGGTGACTCAGCTCCCACACGGGACTGTAAACACTGCGCCTGGATGCCTCCTGCATCTGGTCCGGCTCCTCCCCACCAGGTGGGCAGGGCTGTCCCAGGTGCACACAGGTTCCTTAACATCCTCAGCTATAAAAGCAGGGGTTAGGCCACCCACCTCTGAACAAAAATCCTCCTCATTGATACACGTGGGCTCTTGAAGCCCAAGAACCCCTGCACTTGTGCGTGCCAGGGATCGCTAGGTGGACAGTGTCTGTGCCAGGCAGCCCGCCCAAAGCCTTGGCAATCCCTGGACAGAAAGGAACGTGGAGATAAGCAGCGGGACCAGAAGCCCACTGACCACTGCTGAGCCCTGCCTGCAGCCAGGCCCCCATCAGGGAAACAGTTTCGGTGTGGGCTCAAAAGCAGCTTCTCCCGGTGCCACTGGCCCCACCTTGTTGGGGAAAGAGAAGAGCCACCCTGCCTGGCCTCCCGCTCTCTGCTGTGCTTGTTACCAGCCAGCTTCTCCGACTTTTCTTCAGAAAGAGGATGGGCTGCGCCTTCTCCCTGTGCAGGGTCCGGCTCAGAGCTAGGCCCAATCTGCCACCCACACTGGAAGGCCTTCTCCAGTCCTCATGTCGGGAGGACCCGGTGCCGGGACCACTGCCTCAATCTCCCAGCGACACACGGGGCACTTGGCCATTTCCGCGAAGACCCGCCAGGCGCAGTGGCTGCAGAAGTGTGTGTGGCCGCAGGGGACAAGGCAGGTGTCGGCAGTTCGGTGAAGGCAGATGACGCACTCCTCTCCTGCTGTGGCTGGGAAAGGGGACAATGTAGGTCATAGGTCGGTGGCACATGGGGCCAGTGGGTGGGCATAGCCACAGGACATAGCCACAGGACAGAGAACCAGGCAGTTATATTGGGAAGAATATATGTTCTCGTGACAAAATGCTCACGACATAATCAAGTGAAAAACAATAGTAATAACAAGTCTAAATCATAAAATTCCAATTTATAAAAAAGGAAAACAAAACACAAACAGATCCCCATATATATGTGTGTGTGTACACACACACACACACACACACACACACACACACGCACAGACTGGTGGGGGTGGGGGGGAATCCGCCTAGGAGGTAATGGGTGATTTTTTTTCTTTTTATTTCCTTCTTTATCCCTTAATATTTGTTTTATTCCTGTTTGGTAAAGCTTTTACTATGAATGGTGGACTGCTTTTCTAAAGCAGAGACAAAATACCAGTATCTGCTCATGAGTGTGTTCTTGTAACTTATAAAATTAGCCAATGTTGTAGAAGGCAGAGCTGTTAGACTGCTTTTAGCTTCCAGTAGGCAAAGCTGAATCATTTGGCGTAAAGCCTGAGAGAGATTTGACGGGATATGAAAGATTTTCCTGCACTCCCAAGGCTGGGGCCTCCCAGGATCCCCTGGGGCTGGAGTCTGGGCTGACCCCGGTGCTCCCGAGAGCCACTCACCTTCAGGCTCAGGCCGCTGCGTGTCCTTCCGGAGGGCCCAGGGAACAGCTGTGGAGAAGGCACTGGCTGCGGGGTCTATCGCAGACAGGGAGACTCAGGCCTGTGGAAAGCAAAGCCAGGGAGTCCCCGTCCCCCTACTCCTGAAGCAGTGCCCATGGCCTTTCTTTTCTGGGTTGCAGTTCAGGAGCTCCCAGTGGATGTACAGCCCCATTCGGCAGCAAATTCATGGGGCTGTGGATCCTTTCTCCTAAACCACCTTTCCTTTAGACACCTCCTCTTTGCCCTACTGACGCTGCCTGAGTGGAAACATTCAGCATCACTCAACAGTCCCAAATCCGATGTGCGTCCAAATCCCATGGAAGGCGGGGAAAACAGGTGCTTGGGCCCTACTGCACACCTACGGAATCAGGTGCCCCAGCAGCTGTGACAAGCCATGCTGTGCACGGCCATGGACCACAAGCCCAGGAATGCCAATATTTCTTCCGATGGGTGTTCCTGTATAGACTCACTCTCCTGAAATCCACTCTCCTTGCAGGGGCTAGAGAGAAAGTCTTGCTTCCCACCCGCTGACCACATCTCGCCCTTGCCCCAAAGGCTGTCTTCTTGCTTACCTCTACGCCTCACACTTACATTCCCTTAGCTTGCTACCCTTGTCTCCTGTAAACTCCTACTTAGACTGCAAAGCCCCACCCTAAAATTTCTTCCTTTGTGAAAGGTGATCGCTCTCTAACGGATGTTGGGGGTGCTGGTCATATCTTATCATTCTTTAGGGACAAGGTTGCCCTCCCTATGCCTGGGTCTTGTCCCCTGCTCCCATCTTTATACCTGACACTGGCAAGAGCTGAGGGGAAAACTGACTGAACTATCGGTTCCTCCTGGGGCTCTGGATGTAGGTGGAAGGCCACCTGAGCCCCCACTTCCCCCAAGGGGCGGTGCCCGGTTCGCGCGGGAGGCCTCACCCAGCAGCTCGATAGCCTTGGTGGTCCCGTACACGTCCATCACAGCCCAGAGCGGGGCGCCCATGCGCACACCCTTGCGCAGCAGGAGTCGGGGGCCCGCGTTGACCTGGGCGCAGAGCCAGCCGCGGCGGTTCACCCAGAAGCAGACCAAGTCCCCTGCCAGCGCGCAGCCGTCGGGCAGCATGGCTGCCCACGTCGGGCTCTGTTGCTCCAGGTCGGGGCACACAAAGGGCGGCAGACTGGGCGCCTGCACGCGTGCAGGGTCCAGGCGCGTGAAGCCCACGCGAAGGCCGCCACACCAGCCGCCCTGGTGCTCCAGCACGCGCAGTGCCACCCGCTCCCCGGGCCGCACAGGCCGCTGGCTGAACACGATGCCGTCGTGGAAGGTGGCGCACCGGCATGCGGTGCTCCGTTGCGCGTCCAGATATACCTGCGCGCCCTTGGCCTCAGCGTGGAAGCGAAGGGTCTCCGGGGGCACCTCGGCATCTGTGTGTTGGGGGGGGGTGTCAGCGCGGGCTGTCCAGAATCCACTGACTTCTGAGGCCACCTCGACAGCCCCCCCCCAGCATCCTGGGGCCGCCTCCACCCTTGGGGGAGGGGGAAAAGTAGGGGGCTTTCTACCGTCCCCAGCTCCCCAGGGCCACCCCTCCCATCCTCACCCAAGGGACCTCCCGCAGACCTGCTTAGAGTCGTGAGTAGTCCACTTTGCCTATCTGGGACCTGAGTTCCGGCCCTGAAACTCCCCAAGCCTCAATTCCCCTCCTGTAGGATGGTTGCAAAATTTAAGGGTACTGATGCTAACCAGGCTGTCAATGCCCAGCAATAGTTATTGTCATCACATAGAAAGAGCAGGTCTGAGAACAGTGCATGTAACATGGTCCTGGCTTTGTTCCACAGATACACCGTTTAGGTGTACATCTATGTTCTGTGTGCATCTAGAAACAACCTGAAGGAGACAGGTCCACTAATTGTGCTCAGCTGTGGCCCACGGGGCCACATGTTACTGCTGTGTTTCTTCTTGTCTGACTCTGATTTTCCCACAGAGAACCTGGGCCACTTGTGACGACCATGGCTCCCAGGAAGGGTGACTTCCTTGCCCTAGGAGAGATGAGGTCCCCACAGCTCCCCTCGGGGTGGGGGGTGCAGGCTGGAGAGGGGAGTCCCAGGTCATCTCCTCAAGGCCTAGGGTGAGCTTTGAAATCAAGGCACTTCCTGATCTGACTCTACTTGGCAGCCAGAAAGGGAAAGTCGCTTACTTCGCAGCCCTTTCTCTCAACCCCAGCTGCCTGGGGCAGGCCTGGTGGGTGGAGGCTGGAGGAAGCCGGAGCAGTTTCCTGCCCAGCACTGCTCTTAGCCAGCTCCCCCGCCTCATCCCTCCCTTCCTCTCCTCCCTCCTCCCCTCCCGGCCCTGCTCATTCTGGGTTGGAGGAGGGAGGCTGAAAATAAGAGCTGAGTTCAAGCTGAACCTGAGCCAGACCCCAGCCCAGAGAGTCCCCAGGTGCCTGCCTGGGGTCCTGAATGTGAGGAGTTAAGTGCCCACCTGGGGTGGGAGCAGGTAGGGACTCCTGGGGTAACCTGCCAAAATCTACCTGGGTGGGTGGAGGCCACCCCTGCTCACTTGGCTGGGTCACTGCCCATCCCTGAGGTGGGGATTGGAGAGGAGCCCTGGAAGGGGCTTGGTCAGGGTAGTTAGCAGGATCTGGGCCTTGTCCACACACCACCATGTCCATTCCTGCCACCACCCTGCCAGGCAGAAAGACCCCTCCTGAGAGTGGGCACACAGCAAGCAGGGCAGAGCTGGGATTCAAATGGAGGTTGCAGGGCCGGCTGAGTGGCTCGTTGGTTACGAGCTGGCTTGGGAGCGCGAGCTCTGAGCAGCAGTTCAGATACCACATGGGCCAGTGACGCTGCACCCTCTACAGCTAAGATGGTGAACAATAGCTTGACCTGGAGCTGGGCTGCCATGAGTCGCCAGCGATGGCGTAGGCTGCAGCCCCTGCTGCAGTGGGCTGCCATAAGCTACCATGAGTGGCTGGTAGCCAGCGTGAGCAGCCGGCAGCCGGTGTCAGCTGCTGTGAGCGGCCGTCCAATGGCCGGTGACTGATCTGCCTCAGCCGGGAAGAGCGCAATGATCACAATACCAACATGGGCCAGTGAAGCAATGTCCTCCACATCTAGACTGAGGAACCAAAGGACAGCAACTTGTCTGTTCCCCTTCCCCCAATTCCCCAGCGCTGTTCCCTTCCTCCAATTCCCCCCCCCCAACTCCACCAAAAAACAAAAAAGCAAAGAGAGGTTGCTTAAGCCCTGCCCAGTGCAGCCCCTACAGGGAAAGAGGCCCCTCTTGGGTTGGGGAAACGGAGACCCCTCATGCTCAGCTCCTTGGATGGGGACGATAACCAGCAGAGATGAGCCCATCATGGCTGGAAGCTGTCTCCCCTCTCTCGAGAAGTGTCAGTGGATGGAGTTTTCACCTCGTCCCCTGCCCAGCTGCCCTGGACAAAGGCTGACTCAGGCGGGACTGTCATTGGGGGCAGGAGGAGCCAGGGAGCTGGCTGACTGGAAGGCAGTGTGGGGAGGAGGAAGAATGGCCCTGGGGTGGCCTTGGCGGGTGCACGAGTCTTTCGGCAGTGCAGAGGAGCCCTCGGGACCCCAGGAGGAGCAGGCTTCATCCTGGACAGGATCTTGACAGTCTGCAAAGCTCTCCCATCCCTGCCTCAGGAGCTTCCCAGCAGCCCATGGGGACTATGTCCTCATATCACCATGGTTAGAGGAGGAAGGCTGAGAGGACACCCAGCAGTACAGGTGACAGGCAGCCAGGGGACCAGAGCACCTTGCTCCCGGCCGCATGCCCAGGTTCCACGCAGCCCCTCACAACCGTCTGAATGTGGCCCCTGCAAGGGCCTGCTGGGAGGGTAGCCAAGGGCTCCCAAGGCAGGAGCGGGTCTCTCCAGAGAGCCTTCAGGACTCATGGCCCACTGGGGCCCCTCCCTCTGCTCTGCACGGGATTGGCTGCCTGAGTTTGGAGCTGACTCACAGTGGTGTGAAAGGTGTGGGCGCCCTCCCCACCCCACATCTGCCCCCTCCCACAGGGCCTGCAGGGCCCCTCCCGTCCTCCCACCCATTGCACCTGCCCCTGGGATGGGGAGGCAGAGGTGGGCACAGGCCCAGTATGGCTCTCCCAGTAGGCCTGTGCCCAGCCCTGGGCTGGCATGGGGTTCAGAGCACACAGGGGCCCGAGCACCCTCATGCTCACAGGGTGGCCATTCTTATTTTCAGCCCCATTTTCAGGCAGGTCCTGAGGCTGCATAGGTGGAGTGACTTGCCCGCGGAGGGACCTCCCCAGTGGCCCTGCCTCCCTCCCTCACTCCCCACTGCTGCAGCGGACAGACCCTGCCCCAGGGATGACAAAGAGGGCCCACATCAGCAGACTGCCAGTGAGTTCAGGGAACACGAGTCACGGCCTTTTGAAAGTCCCCCTCACCCAAAACACACACAGGTGGACTCCAATCAGAGAACCTTTGCAGCAAAGCTCTTGGAATCTAAGTAGCGTGTCAGCCCCCTGCTCAGCGAGGGAGAACACCCAGAACACCATCATCTTCATCACCGCCCCTCCAGCCATCCAGCCTTTCTGGGTGCCAGGCACCTACTAAGCACTTTACTGCCCTTATCTTCCCCCAGACCCTCTCAGGGAAGCACTCAGACAGAAATGAGCTTAGTGGGGTGTGCAAGTTGTTAGCGCTGGCAGCCAGAAATTGGGGAGCCTGGGCCCAGCCCCTGGTCCCTGCACCCCTGCACTGCCCCCTTCATGGCACCACCAGTGCCTGGATCCAAATATAGTTGCTGCAGCAGTGATGGCTTGGTCCTTCCCTGCCCCCAGACTTTGGGTGCCACCTGCTGTTGGTATGCAAGCCCTTAGTGCTGCTAGAGAACAGGCGCAGAGGCTAGGGGCTCTTTGCCAGGGTCCAGAGAGACACGGCCAGATCTCCAGAGGTAAAAACCCAGGTCCCCCACCCCTGCCCTGCACACTGAGGGATCGCTGTGGCTGCAGGTGAGGCATGGTGGGTGACATTTCATTCTGTGCCCTGGCAGCCCTGTAAGTCAGCAGGTGGGTTGCACTGGCTGGGCCGGCAGATGAGGAAACAGGTCCTAGGGAAAAGCCACCTGCCCCGGGTCCCACAGCTCAACCTTCACAGCTGAGACACCTCAAACTCTACTGTTCCCCACCCAGCCAGTCTTCTCCTTGCACAGCAGGACCTGCAGGCAGCCTGGTCATGTGGGTCATCTGGTCACTGCAGGGATGCTGGACCCAAGTGACCAGCCTCTGTTGGACTCGCAGGGGCAGGAAGCTCACTAACATTGCTCACCAGCCAGGGCAACCCAGCCTGTATCAGAGGCTCTTTCTGGGCGATGTTTACATCGACCACACCTCTGTCTCTTGGAAATTCTCCCCCAGCAATGGCCCAGAGCCCACCCTGCTTCTTGCATTACCAGTCCAGGAAACAAGCTTAGGGCTCCCACTTACCAGCCTGGGAGCAGAGCTGGGCCCCCATTGGCCTGGGGTCCTCAAGCCCGGGGTCCCTGGGTCTGGGAGAAATTGTGTGGAGAGGCCAGTGAACAGGTTTCCAAAGTCTCCGCCAGTCCCCTGCTTATGGACTGGGATCATGTTACAGAGTTGATGATTAATTAGACATTGCTGTCACGAGTTACAATATCCAGGGAATTTCCTGATGATGTCTCCAGGCTGCAGCAGGCCTGCCCAGCTGGCCGACCTGAGGGAAGCAGGGACTGAGATGGCCTGGGTGGGATTTACGGTGTCCTCCTCTCCCCCTCCTGAGCAGTCCCTGCCAACCGCTTGTGCGTTATAGTTGCCTGAGGCACGCTAATAAGTACCTGTACCCACACCTGCCTCCAGAGGCCCTGATTCCAGTGGCCTGGGGTGGAGCCAGAATCAGTCATTTTTGAAAGCACCCTGGGTGATTCTAATGTACAACCAGTGTGGAGATTCACCCAGCACACAGAAGGCATAATCAATGTTGCTGAAGGGGGCTAATTGAATTCACTCATTGCGGGGCCTGTGAAGTGGTTGGGACCCCGGTCTCCACAGAGAGAAGGCAAGGCAGGTGGAATGGGAGGGTGCGGTTGCTCTCCAGCCTTGCTGGGGCTGGAGCTCCACCTTCCAGGACCCCTCCAGAGCGCCAGTCATCCCCAGGAGGTCCCACAAAGGCTTGGCCTCAGCTGTGACCAAGAAGCCACAGAGCCTCTGCCCCTCCATTTCCACAGGGACACAGAGGCTGGGGGAGGGCAAATCGCTGGCTCTAACCTGGCGCTTCTCACATCCTGACACACATGACTATCCTGGGGATCTTATTAAGCAGGGATCAGTTCAGGTCTGGGTGTGCATGGGATCCTGCTTTCTAACAGAGTGGCTCTGTGGACCCCATTTTAGAGACAAGGCCATAGACTAGTCTGGAGGCTTGTGAGTACCTCCACCCCCAGGCTAAGCCCTTCCCAGGACCCTGCATCAAGGCCTCGATCATGACTATTCTGAACCTGGCTAAAGGGACAGGTACCCCATGCAGTCCCTGGAGCTGCTGGGAGTAGTGGTGAGTGGGAAAATATGGGGGTTTGGAGACCCAGGCTCTGCCTCCTGTGTTTCCTTGCCCTCCCTGGCCCTCTCTGGGCCCTGATGTCCTCACATGTAAAACAAGAAGCCAGGATGAGCTGGTCCATGGGTTCCTTCTAGCCCCAACATGCCGTGACTTTGGTCTTGGTGATGGAGAGGCGACTGCAGCCTGGACCCAGGTAACTTCAGAAGATGCTGCTGCCAACCTGGACCTTCTTTTCCACACCATGCTCCCAGCCAGGCTCCCTTGGTTCCTGCCAAAGGCAAACTGGTTTTAGGCCAGCAGCAATCACCACAAGTTCAAGGCTCATGGTTCCAGCTGGTCCAGCCTAAGGTGAGGGCCCACAGTACATGGTCCTGCTGGCCAGGACTGGGAGCACAGGTGCAGGGCATCTCCTTGTCTCTGGGAAGTGCTGGGACCCAGAGATCCTGCCCTCTCCCTCCTCCCCACCCTCCTACTCCCCACTCTCCACCCCCCCACCCTGGCTCCACCTGTACCACCGGCTGCCTTGGGCAGTGCCCAGAGCGCTGGAGCCAAGAGCACCTTGCTGATAAACCACATTCCTACAAAGCAGGTAATTACAGAACCTTATCAGGGAAATCAGGTCTTGAACTCGGCCTGTGTGGAAAAGTACTGGGTGAGCTGTAGACATCAGGCTGTTGGAGGCCAGCTGAGGAGGTGTGGTCCCATCGTCAGGACCTCAGTGGGAATGGGCATTCTGAGACACTGAAATCCCTGCCTTGCCTGACATCCTGGCAGATGGGGGTGCCCAGGCATAACCCCACCACATTCTCCCTCATATGTAATTAACAAACACTACTGTCCTAAGTCCACTTCTGTATTAGCCTGCTAATGCTCATGGCAATGCCTCAAAAAGATTCTATCAGGGGAGGAGGTTGTCACTATGTGAGGGGTGAAAAGCATAACTATTGCATTGCTTTGTACACCTGAAACTACAAAAAAAAAAAGATTCTATTTATTGTAATCATCCCCATTTTACAAATGGGGAAACTGAGGCACAATGGCGTGAAACAGCCTGTTCACAAACATTAAGGCAGTAATAAGCCAGAACTTGGCCCAGGGGTATTGGCTGGAAACCAGTGCCTCAACCGCTGTGCTGTGCTCCTCCCTGCCTCCCCACTCAGGCCACTCTGCACCCTCTGAGCATTTAGTTATTAACGTCGTGGCCATTCGACTATGCTGACACACAGTAGGAGCTTAAGGGTAGTTGCTGACTGGTCGCCTGAGTGTGAAGCAGAGGCCGCCCCACGATGGAGCCTGCATCCATCCCCTCCAGGCCACCGGCGCCATAAGGCTGTCCTAAATGTTCCAAGAAGGCAGTGGCTGGCCGGCCCTTTGCAGGAAGGCAGCAGCTGAACAGTGATTGACGCGCCCACTGGTGGCTGCAATCAGTACTGCAGGATGCGCTGTGGCCCTCAACGCTAGGAGGGGCGACCCCAGGAGAGGAGGTCACAGCGGCTGAGGCTTCTGAGGCCTCTGCACCTCCTCCCTGACCCCACAGCTCCCCACATTCCATCCTCCCTTCTGACGGCCTCCTCACTGGCATTCAACCCTGAGTTTGCCCAGGATCCCATTATTTCAAAGGGCTTTCACATAGTTCATCCCCTAAGGTGCCTCCAGTCCTCTGACAAGCGGCTGGACGGCTGTTTCGGTTCCCACCATACAGCTGAGGAAGCTGAGGGTTGGCCCAGGGTTCGTGCCAGCCTGTGGCCAAGCAGAAGTGGAAAGTCACGGGCACCCAGCCCAGTCTGGGACATGGGCAGCCCAGCCCCTGTGTCTCCTGCCATCAAGGGCCCTGAGACCCCTACCTTATTATACTTGCCATGCTCACCTATTCCCCACCGGGCCAAAATCTTGGAAGGCAGGGGACTGTCATGCCTGACCAACCCCTAAAACAGCAGGTGGTGGGTAAGGATTTGTCAGTGTCAAACAGCGCAGTGGCAGTTTCTTTAACAATTGCCCACCTGCCTACCTTACGACCCAGTGATTCTACTCTTGGATGAATACCCAACAGACTCAGGTGCCTATGTCCACAGAGATTGGCACAGGGCTGTTCAGAGCAGCGTTGTTCGTGACAGACCAGACTAGAAACAACCCAAATGCCTGTTGTGCTGGGTGCTGTGATACGCTGCTCAGATACCTCTTCAGGAATGAAGGGCTTGGTCCCTCAGAGGCTGGAGTGCTGCCCTCAAGTAGCTTATGTCAGAAATGCACCACAGTCCAAGCTCCTTCCTCTGTTCGGTCCTGTGACCACAGGTGTGGTTCCCCAGAACCATCCCTAATAAGCCCCATCTCTGTCTCAGGGTTGCACCCAACCTCCCACCCCCATCAACAGGAGACTGGAAAAGGAAATCACCATGTAGTCTCACCATGGCAATAAAAACAAAATACTATTATCTGCAACAACGTGGTTAATCCAAGAGCAGATCCAAGCAGCACACACCGCATGCTTCCATTTATATGAAGTTCAAAACTATGTAAATGAACTTGTGCTTTTAGAAGTCAGGGTAGTGCTCACCTTTGGGAAGGGTGCATGGAGCCTCTGGGGTGCTGGCAGTGTCCTCCATCTTGATCGGGTGGTGTGTATACATATGGAAAAATCCATCGAGCTGGACCCTCAAATCGCATGTCAACTGCACCTTGATTGTATAGTGGCTAAATTCCCTTCCAGCCCTAAAACTGATTCTGAATGAGCTGGTGAATGGTGGAAAACCAGCCCTGGAAGCCAGAGCACTTGGCCAGCACTGCCACCTGGTGGAGAAAAGTGGAACTGACTGTGGGTCCCATGCCCTGGAGGGAAATGGTGGGGCCAAAAAAGGCTCCCACCTGTGTCCCCAGCCACTCGCTCATTTTCTTGCCCACTCCCTTCCTGCCCATGAGCCCCTAACAACTCTGGGGTCCATCAAGTCCTCTAGTCAATAGCTGGACCACCACCACCTTAGGGGCCAGAGTGCAGGGGAGGGAGGCCAGGGTATGCCAGCAAAGTCACCCCTAGTTAGGTCTGTGCCGCTGGCCCATCCAGGTCTTCCTGGGCCCTGGTTCCACTCTGCACCTCCACTGCCCTGAGTCCCCTGGTTCCTCTCCTGCCAGCACCAGAGCACCCTGCAGTGTGAGAGTGGAGCCTGCCTTGAGGGAGGCTGAGGCAGACATGCTGGGGGGGGACCAATGTGGCTGCTCAGAGGGGAGGGGAGGGGAAGCAGAGAGGCACGCCTTCTCTTCTTTGGGTTTCCTGTTTTCTTTCTCCCTGTGCTCCACCCATCCCAAGCACATCTGTCAGGGTATCTGTCCTGGGAAGACTGTGGCATCTGCCGTGTGTGTGTGTGTGTGTGTGTGTGTGTGTGTGTGTGTGTGTG